CAACGAAAACAAATCAACAGCCCACACACTACACGGAGTCAACCCCAACCACCTTCGACGCTCATACCCCTCGCTTTAGCCATGCAAGCCCCAAACCTCCTGTCCAACCAACCTTAATTAAATACTCAGCACCTTTGTTAAATGGTCATTCAATAAAAGTCCGGGTGAAACCTTAATAAAACAATAAAATTCACCAGGGCTAAAGCCTTTTAGGTTGAGAGTAGAGGGTGAGTTGAAATTGAGTCGTAAACCGACGAGTTTGTAGTTGATCTACCTTTAGCTTAAGCATTTGATTTAAAAGTAGACTTAGGTTTAGCTTATAAGGAGATTTTGAGGAAGGATGTATTATGGAATTGTATTCTTAGCTTGGGAATTGGTCTGTCGTGTGTTACAGGTTCTTTTGATCTTTTGATTCGAGATCAGGATTAGACCCAGCTTGATCCCTCGAGGATCATCACCTGTTATCASTGATAACAGGTGATGATCCTCGAGGGATCAAGCTGGGTCTAATCCTGATCTCGAATCAAAAGATCAAAAGAACCTGTAACACACGACAGACCAATTCCCAAGCTAAGAATACAATTCCATAATACATCCTTCCTCAAAATCTCCTTATAAGCTAAACCTAAGTCTACTTTTAAATCAAATGCTTAAGCTAAAGGTAGATCAACTACAAACTCTCACCTATTCTAGTTGGATCGACTGAATCACCACCTGTCAAAATATAATCTATCTCCTCTAAACCCAGGAAATTTTCGGCAGCGCTTCCCGTAGGAAAATTGTCTTCCAGAATTTATACAAGTCTAAATATGAAAATTATGAATAAATTCTAACTCTGGAAAGCCAAATCTTGTTTAACCCCCTGAATTAGTAGAAATTTGGGCAGCACTCCCTTTAGAAAAGGAAACGTTCCAAATTTATACTAAGGCAGATATAAAGCAGGAGACAATCTCTAACTCCTGGAAAACCAAATTATGTCTAACTCTCTGCATAAGTAGAAATTTGGGCAGCACTCCCTTTAGAAAGGGAGACTTCGCAGATTTATACTAAGTCAGATACAAAAACAGAAACGATTTGTAACTCTGGATAATCAAATTCTGTCTAACTCTCTGAACTAGTAGAAATTTTGGCAGCACTCCCCTTTAGAAAAGGAGACTTCCCTGATTTTAACTAAGTCAGATATGAACTCGAACAACAGCTCGAGCTCAACTTTTTAGACTGAATTTAACTAACTCCTTAATTTTGTAGAAATTTCGGCAGCACTCCCTCTARAAAAGTGYTATTCCAAAAYTTATACAAGGMTAAGTTCAGATTTTGAAAGTAACTTTGGCTTCCCTCAGTTCAATTTTTGTCTAACTCCCCGAATTAGCAAAAATTTGGGCAGCACTCCCTTTAGAAAAGGAGACTTCCCAGATTTTAACTAAGCAAGATATATGAAAATGACAAGTTGAATTTTGACAAGTTAAAAAGTTGGTTTACTTCTTGGATTTGTAAAATTTTCGGCAGCGCTTCCCGTAGTAAAAGTAGCTTGCCAAGATTTATACAAAGCCAAAAAGATCTCAGAAAATGCAGGAAATCACCTAAGTAAAAAAAAAAACGTTATTACAGAAAATGCAGGAATTGACACTAACTCCTATGACTCTAGCACATGGCGAGCAACTAAAGCAACAACCTATAGTAATGAAACTTAAACAAACTAGCTATCCCATTCAGTCACATGCAAGCCAAATCACCAGTGTAAGTACTCTCACCATCCCAAGTTTATTCCATGTAGATAGTTCATGAATCTTCAAGTTCTTGAGTCCTTATACCCATCTTGTATAAGACATAGAGCTGGACCATTCGCCATGGAAACAATGCTCAACTTGTCCTTATAATATATACGAATAAGTTTCACAACTACTTCTCTCTTCCTTTGGGCAGACGACCAGGTCATTCGCCATGGAAACAATGCCTAGTCGCCCTGTGCTGTTTAATATCAAAAACAAAAATTGTATTTCTCTGACTTTATTTTCAAAAGAAAAAGCAAATATGGGCAGTGGACTGAACCATTCACAGTAGAAACAATGTTCAGCTTGCCCAAACTATTTCCATTTATACTTTGTATTTTCTTTTTTCTCTTCTTAATGATATGGCTTAACGCTGGACCATTCACAGTAGAAACAATGCCCAGCTGCCARTTCACATGCAAATATACATAAAATACTTTCTTTTATACYTAGTTTAAATTATGTGCGCGGTTTTCAGGCTAAACCATTCACCATGGAAACAATGCTTAGCCTTGGACCAAAAGTTCTCCCTCAAAAAATAAACAAGAATTTAAACCCCCCTTTTAATCAGGCAACCCTCACAGTTAACTAAGGTAGCCAGACCATTCACAGTAGAAACAATGCCTGGTTCCCCAGAAAACAATCAAATAAACACAGCGACGAGGCCAATCACAGTAGAAACAATGCTTGGTCCTTCAGAAAACCGCCAAATAAACATAACCCTGAGCCATTCACAGTAGAAACCATGCTCAGGCTTTGGTTGACCCGGTCAAACGCATGCAAAACTGCCTTCCTCCCACCTTCCCCCAATTCATCCTTAGTCTGCTTTCAATCAGAACAAAGTAGGAACTTGAGCTTCACTCTCACACATTCTTTCCATTCAATCTGATTAGGTCCTGAAGAGAAAAACGAAACTATAGGGACAAACGCATGCATACAACAGTCATACTGTAGGGATATAGGCAAACATGGGTAGTAGAAGGTTGTACAGGTGGAAGTGGTTTACCTGACAATTCCCTGCCTCCAGAACCTCGCCTAGGTTCTGGCAGAGCTCCCCCAATCGGTGGGTGGACTCCCCACAGAGTCTTGATGCGGACTTACGGGTTGCAATCCCGCCTGCCGCCTTCCTCTCGTAACCAGAGACTTGACTTAGACTGAGAAGGGCAGATGGAGAAAAGCGTGAGACTCTCAGATCCTAGAATGGTGCTCTCAGACTCGCGGGAGAGGGCCTTGTAGTCCTGATGCTCCTGAGGGCCCCGCAATGGCGGCCAACTGTGGCAGCTTGATCAAAACTGATGAAAGCCAACTTGCTGAGACCAAACCCCCCCCCCCCTGACGACCTCCCAATGGTCGCTATAATTCCCTTCTCACAGTCCAATCGCACTACCACAACAGTTCTCTCCTGATGAAACTTTGATCATGCAACTTCAGCCAGGGCACAGTGGTCCACATTAACTGCTGTTACAGCAACCCCGCTGAAGAAAAGAGGTGCAGCAGGACACACAGTTACGGAGTCACAAGGGAGGCGCCGCAGCGGCCGGATCACACTATAGCGGGCAACACCAGCAGTGGAGGTATCAGCAAAAGCCTATACGCACAGCAGGTACCTGCCCACAGATATCGAGTACAATGATTCGCTGCCAACTCGATCTCCGCCAGCCCAGCAGTCAGCAGTGCTTATCAGCAATGTCGTAATACCCGACAACTGTCCAGCAGTAGTGGTAGTCCACAATCCACAGATCCGCAATCCACAGATCCGCAATCCACAGTCACAACAGCAATTTCACCCAGTCAGCAGCCGCCCGTAGTAATAACCTGTGCTCAACCCATGTCAAGCCGCCGGCTCTCGTGCCCAGTCCACTGACACAGCCGAAGTGTATGTGAGCGGCAGTAGTATCCCGTAGTGCACATCAACCTTCTATGCTCCTTCCGCAGTCAGCAGCAAGCACCGCGGAACACTGCGGCATCCACAGTACCACTACCCATAGGATCAAGAAAAGAGTTTCTCAGTTTACAAATCACTCCACTAACAAAGAACGGCCATGCACCGTCGATCCTTCCTAGGGGGTCAAAGTACCCGCTAGCAGGTAAGTCGTCAGCTGTCACATCGAGCTCCGGCCCTTCCTTGTTGTTACCTCGCCCATCTGCTCACCACCCGCTCGTCTATTTCATTACTTATCTGTAACTTCTTCCTTCGAATGAATCTGGCGCAGTGACGTGCCCAGGTTCATCCAGCCTTTGGCTCAACGGCGGCCGAGTAGGTGGGATTTTCTTCCCTTCACTCCGTACGTGTCCGCACGACACCCCATCCACATCTACTCACCCCTTTTGTCACTCCGTCTTGTCTCCCTTGGCGCTGCCAGCCGTGCACTGCCTCTAGAAATAAGCAAAAATC